AGCTAGTTAAGGTTGGTTGCAGTTTGGTAATGTTTGGGCTGGTTTGCTTCTCACTTGTTCCCAGAGCAGACTCCTCCAGGGCCTGCAATGCTTACCAGGGCTCTCCCCTTGGAGAGTTCTTAATGCTGCTCTTTGCCTCCTCAGCAACAGGAGACTAGAAAACTCTGCTTTGATTTTCAGAGATTTTTCTCTTAAGTTTTTAGCCTCCTACCCCATATAGCATCTTCTTCGCTGGTCTTGACACTTCCATTGTTCATATCCCCACCCAATTCGTTCTCCACTCTGCTTTCAGATTGGCTAGAAAATAAGATGTTCATTTCATGCTACTTCCCTGCTTCAAATCATCAAACACTTCCTATAACTTCCAGGATAAAGTCCAATCACCTTAGCATAGTTTATGTATAGTTTACGAGGTTTTGCACTATTGTGATCTACATACTTTTTCCATCTCCAACAAATGTACTCCTCTGCTTTCATCCTATATTTCAGCCACACCACATTATTCATATTCTCTGAAGTCATCCAACTCTCTTTTACTTCTTGGCCTTTGAACATTTTGGCCCTTCTAGTGTGAATTGCTTTCCCTGACCTCTCCTCCAAGCCTCACAATAATCCTTTAAAATTCACTTCACGTGTTATTTCCTGGAAGATTTCCATGGTCCTGCCTTACCTCCCTTCACTTGTCCTACAATGCACCTTTAATAGGGTTAAGATTAGGTTTCCCTCCTCTAAGGTTTCACAGAACTCAGTGGTTTACCCTTATCATAGCACTTTTTCCATTGTAATACAAGTGTCTTCTCAACTGTTTTTCCCACTAGATATAAACTCCATGAGGACAGGAACAGTGCTCATCATGCTAACCACCATACTCTCAGTGCCTAACCCATATGGTACTCAGTTAACATTTGCTAACTGAAAAAAAAAAAATGAGTGAATGAAAACAAAAAGGGAAGGACATATAAGCAAAAGCAAATACATAAAGGGTGGCATAACTAATTTTGAATAGTGACAAGGAGCTCTAAAAGATCTGAAACTTGCAACAAATGCTGCAAACTGAAAAAGACTCTTAGGAAATTTATATTCAGAGCAGCAGGAGGAGGAATATTAGGAAAGATATATACCTAGTGCTTCGAGCTGATGATGCAGTTTGATAGATGACATAGAGAAGGATCTAATTCTTCAACTCTTATTGTGTTCCTTTCTTTGCTGATTGAAGAATTGTGGAGAAAAGAAATACTTTACAGGAGGGAAAGTAGGCAAAAGAGCTTCGAGGAATATGTGAAGTCATTGGAAGTAGACAACAATGTGATGAATCCTGGCTCTGACTCTTACTACTATGTGACTTTGGTTAAGTCACATAAATAATTCTCTGAGACCCAGTTTTTCCCACATGTAAAACGACGACATACCTAACATGTAAAATAATGATTTGAATGATGAATGCTGGGTGCTTGATACTTAATATACTACAGAGTATTTTCATCCAAAGACATGTTTGATGTTGACACAAGTAAGATTCTAGCAAGCATTATTTAAAATGCTTTTGAGTACCTGGATAGAAAAGGGACCAACTGGAATTATATATATATGTGTGTGTGTGTGTGTGTGTGTGTGTGTGTGTGTGTGTATATATATAATTTCATTTCTCTCTTTGGCAGGGTAATTTAGGCAGATTTGACTGGATTACCAAACTGCTTGATCATATAACATAGGTATAGTGCTCTGGACTTCAGTAAGGCATTTGACAAGGGTTGTTTGACAAGTGAACAAATATGGGTTGACTGGCTTTTAAAAAATGTTAAAATACACGAAACATGAAATTTACCATTTTAACACATACAATTCAGTGGCATTAAGTACAGTCATAATTTTGTGAAACCATCACCAGTCTCCATTTCCAGAACTTTTTCATCGATCCAAACAGAAAATCTGTACCCATTAAACAATAACTTATTATTTCCTCCTTCCCCTCGCTCCTGGTAACCTCTATTCTACATTCTGTCTCTATGAATTTGACTAACCTAGGTATGTCATATAAGTGGAATCATACAATATGTGTCTTTTTGTGATTGGCTTATTTCACGTGGCATGTTTTCAAGGTTCATTCATATTATAGCATGTATCAGAATTTCATACATTTTCTAAGACTGAATTTTTTTGTATGCATATATCACATTTTGCCTATGCATTCATCTGTTGATGGATACTTGGGTTGCTTCTACTTTTCAGCTATTGTGAATAATGAATGGGTTGACTGTTTAACCAATCTGGTGAATTGGCAACTGGCTGAATGATTGTACTCAAAGGGTGATGATGAAAGTGAAAGTGAAATGATGGTACCCTTGAAGGAAGTTTCCAGTGGTTTGCCACAGGGGTCTTCCTGCAGACTTTTTCTGCCCATCAGTTTTCTCAAGAAGATATAGAAGGTATGATTAGCTAATTTGTTTTGCAGTCAACACAAACATGGAGGAATGATAACTGTATTAGTCAGCAAGATTCAAAGTCAAAGAGATTGATGAGTTAGAGAGACTGACTGAATCAAGAGACAAGAATTTCGCAGGGGAAAAATACAAGTTCATGTACTTGCGTTCAAAAAACCAACGGCATGAGTACAGTTTGAGAATGCTGTCCCTTTAAAAGAGTAAGCTGAATGTGTGCCAATAGTGTTTAAGTGTCCCTTCAAACATTAATCTGATGTTAGGTTATGTTAGTAGAAATGTAATATCGAAAATGGAGGTGCTGGTCATACTTTACTCTGTTCCACACTTCTGGTGTTGGTGTTCATTTTCCAGTTACACTTTTAAAAACAGAGAATAGTGTAATATGAGCTTTATTGTCATTACCCTGCCCTACATCAAATTCCAGTTTCATTATCTTTTTTTTTTTTTTTGAGATGGAATCTTGCTCTGTCCCCCAGGCTAGAGTGCAGTGGTGCGATCTTGGCTCACTGCAACCTCCACCTCCTGGGTTCAAGCGATTCTCCTGCCTCAGCCTCCTGAGTAGCTGGGATCATAGGAGCCTGCCACTGTGCCCAGCTAATTGTTGTATTTTTAGTAGAGATGGGGTTTCACCATCTTGGCCAGGCTGGACTCAAACTCCTGACCTCGCGATCCACCTGCCTCGGACCCCCAAAGTGCTGGCATTACAGGTGTGAGCCACCATGCCCGGCCCAGTTTCGTTATTTCTAAATCTATGACTTTAGGCATGTGACTTAACCTCTCGATGTCTCAGTTTCCTCACTTGTAAAATAAAGATAATAATATGGTTGCTGTGAAGATTAAATCAAGTAACACATAGTAAGTACTTCATAAATATTAGTTTTTGAAATTATGTAGACAAGATGAAATATATTCAAAGAAGAGTAACCACTTATTGACTCATTCTACAAATATTTATTAACCACCACCACTCTCATAGGAAGAACACACGAAGAAACTAAGGGTGTTCAACCTAGTGATGCCATGTTGTGGAGGATATGAAAGCTGTCTTCAAATATTTGAGGAAGAGGCATTAATCTCTTTCTGAATGAGTTCATAAAATAGAACTAGAATTAATTGGTGGAAGCCAAGGTTTTAAATCAATGTGAGAAAACTGGAATTGGCTTTATTAACTGTTGTTGTAGGTGTCTAAGCAGAGGCTAGACAAATAGTTTGTGATGGTGTTATAAAGGATATTTTAGCATCAGATGGGTGATTTGAGTAGATAATCTTTAAGGTTCCTTAATTATTCCAGACTTGAAAAGTCTATAATGATATGAAAATGCTTTCCTCTTTCCTGCCCTAGAGACTGCATAAGGTCTATTCACCTTCTACCTTCCAATTTCTTCACCAAACCTCATTTGGACCTAAACAAAAGCAGGTTGACCTAGGAAACTTTAGTTTCTTTTTCAGCTATTTAGTTTACAAGAGACTCTTTTGTAATCACATCAGAGACCCCAGCCTCTACTCTAATTCCTTTATATCGTTACAGAGAAAAATAGTGGGCCAGACTTCCTGGTTACAGAAGGCTGAGGAAAGTCTGATGAATAATATAACAAAATTTTGAAATGTTCCTAAGTGCTTCTTAAAGCAAATATCATTTGAGGGAGAAAAGTAAACTCAAAATTTTAATCTTAGATTCAGGAGTGACATCTGAGAACA